AATAACCTACATCTGGATGATTGGCGGTCCACCACATTGCAATTTACGAGAGGTTTTCTTCCTTGCACAACTTTTTCAGACGACTCTTCACTCATAAACACGCTTTCAAAGTATTCCTTCCATCTCTTTAAATTCGAAACTTTAAAACTTTCGAACTTTAAAACTTTGAAACTTAGAAACTTTAACTTAAATTCGAAATTCATTTCATTAAGTATACAGCCATTCTCGCCTCATATAGCATTCATTCTAGGCTGTTTTGATTTTCCCCTGGCAGTTCCTACGAGTTTCCAGAACATTTTAATATTTGTCTGGAAGTTACCCGATATCCTACTATCATTCTTATCCGTTCTTTCTTGCTTTTTCCTTTCAACAACTTCTTTTACTCTCTTATTTATACGTCTAAAGTCTGCCTTTTTTCTTTCAATCTCATCATTCATACCGCCAAAATTACCAGCTTTGGTTGCTAGTAAATCTAGCCATGCTCTCTTATTTGCTTCAACTTCCATCTGTACCTCATCATCCCACCACAAAGTATTATTTTTCCTTTCACTCGTTCTCTTACTTACACCACATACTTCGGTGGCTGCATCTACCAAAACTTTCTTAACGTTATTCCATACAGTCTTCAAGTCTAAATTATTCATACATACGAGTAATTCATTCAAACCACTTATATTTTCTCTCAGTCTACATTTATACTTCTCTTTCACACCTTCATCTTGTAACCTCTCTATTCTTATACGCTGTAACGCAGTGATAGACACAGATGTCCGATGCCGCCAACGCCTGAATAGACCATTAATTCGGCATAAGACCAACCACTGCGTTCCTCATTATTTCATCCACAATTATGAAATCTATCATGCTTCTGTCATCACCTCTTTCCCATGTATACATGTGAATTCTCTTATGGCGAAAGAAAGTGTTCGTCACAAAAAGATTATTTTCCACACATACGGTGACGAGGTCTTCACCATTCTCATTTATACTTTCATCACCTAACGTTCCTAATATCCTTTGATAACCAGACCTCTTCACCCCAACCCTTCCATTAAAATCTCCTAACATAATAATATTTTCATTTCCCTTACATTTCATCAACACCATCCTTATCATGTCCCAAAATTGCTGTCGGATATAAGTGGGCTTAGACATATTTGGGGCGTACACCCATAGCACAAACAACCTCTTTAAGCCCACTTTCATTCGTATCCATAGCAGCCTTGGGCTTACATACTCTTTCACACATTTGACCCATTCTTTCTGAAAGGATGACACCGATTCCCTTGCCGCTGGCTGCCCGCCCGGTCTCGTTTACACCAAACCAGTAAGCAGTATACATGCCATGTGTAGTGGCATCCTTTCTCTTTCGTTTCGTCTCATTTACATATAACACATTATTCCTCTATCATTCATCATTTCGCATACTTCGTTCATCTTATCATTCATTGCTCCATACATTCAGCGTAGCCAGACGGGCCTCCGCAATTCATTTTTCGCCCCTCCGGGAGACAGAACATGACAGGTGGCGAACCTCGTCGCCGGTATTTCTCTCGGACTATTTGTCCCAGGTAAACATATTCGTCAACAACTTCGAGCTTAATGCTCCCAAGAACTACCGGCACAGGTGCGATTTGGACGTTAAACATGATTTTTGTTTTGTCCATGTACATTAAGATCTATCCGTTGGGAGGCACTATTGAGGTCATTGAGCATAGTGCTTAGGTCCTCCAGCGATTCTGCCATAAGGACTATATCGTCGGCAAATCGAAAGTGAGTGATGTACTCGCCATTGACATTAATATCGTATCCTTTCCAGTCCAAGTAGCTTGAAAACTTCTTCCAATGCAGCGGTGAAGAGTTTCGAGTATATTACGTCACCCTGTCTTACACCTCTCTGCAGTTGGATAGGCTCCGTACTCTGGTTCTCTACTTGGATAGTCATCGTAGCCCTACTGTACAAACACTTTAGTGGTTTTAAACAATTGAAACAGTGAATAAAGTTTACAAATGAATACGACAAAAAAGTCTAATGCCCAGCCATAAGTACGAGAAAAATAGCTTATCGAGGCATGCTGGCAGCTGATGGGGGCCTAAGCTCCTCGCGCTGTGATTATAGAGAAACCACGTGTTTCCAGTATAGTTCCGGGTCGGGTCTAGAGTATTTTGTGTGAGAGCAATGTTAGCATCGTAAAAAATTATCTAGTGTTTGTATCTTTTTTTAAATTAAATTCATGTTTTGGAATTTTGCATGTATATAAAGCGCATATATGACCATGTAAATATCTGTGTATATAGTTTGAATTATTTAGATTAGTGCTGTAATAATTTGTATAATAGCTATTAATTTTAACCTCGTAAGGCTTGGGCTTAGCAAAAAGTATGTTTTAATAATTACCGCCCATGTTCTTGAAAAAGGACAATATATATTAAGTGCTTACCGCCCAGAGGTAAAGGTGGAAAAAGTAACAGGGTGCACGTTTTCTACAGCCGTAACCTTTTTCACAATGGTGTAAACACTATTACAGTCCGCACGGATCGGATAAAGAATGGGTTTAGAAATGGCGGCTCATCGAGTCCGTACCACCAACATGCACAGTACCAATAGCGAAAACCCGCTAATAACGGTATGTCGTTATAACGTTATATTTTTCGGTAGATTAAACATTTTCTATTAATGGGAAAATATTTAAAAAGTAATGGTATACGCAAGTGAGTATATTAATTTTAAAATATCATTTATAACTAGCGGCCAGCTCTGGCTGCGCCTGGGTGGGATCTATTAATGTGGCGTTATTTAGACTTAACATAATCATTAAAGACCATTTAATTTATCTTATCAATATTTATATTTTAAAATGTCTCAAAATTTTTGGGATAAAATTTAGTCTAGATGACTCCTGGTATTGCTCTGTATTTGTTTGTGAAGTTTTATTACATTCGGTTTAGCTATTCTGAAGATAGCTCGAACATACAAACAAAAATTTTAAAAATGTTTTTAAAATTTTTGTTGTCATGTAAATATTTACAAAAATATTAACAAACAAAATCAATATTAACAAATTAGCGGAACCGGACTGAAGTTTTTTTTTTTGTAGTTTATGGCATTTTGTTAGCATTGGTTCCAATGACAAGTTGAAGAACGTACGAAAAACGCATATTATCGCAACGTATTTTTTGCAGTCTTTACCGACGGGTGTGAGTATAGATAGCGACAATGTGCGAGCGAGAGGTGTGTAGAGGCGACGCCATTTTAATGCCATTCTTTAAATGCACGGGCAATAATCTTTAGGGAATCAGGAATCAGCATAATCACAGATCATAAGAACAGTATTCTTTTTTTTTTATAAAACAGAAGTGACAAACGAACAGTCCATGGACTGCTGCCAACTTTAAACACTGAAGGCTACAAATGTGTAGCCACCTCTGAAGATTAAGATGAAATGAACCACAGTCTGTAACTATACTGGCTCTCTATACACCCTTCACATGGGAACACAGCAGTGCACCCAATGCTGTTTAGCAGCAGATATAAGTACGAGGTCTAGTACCTATCCAGACGAAGTCGTAGCCAGAAGGAATCCTACCACCTAGTGAAGGTTGCAAAGGTTTGACAAGCCACGTCTATGGCTTCCTCAGTTCTGTACTGCAATGAGCAGTTCAAGATTTTATTTATTTTTATTTTTTGATTTTTAATTTATGTTTTTATGGTTTTATTTTTTTAATCTTTGAAACGGCGCGGCCGCGTTTGACTTCAAAATCCAATCTGCTTGAAGTCTCAGTGAACACTTTCGCCCACCTCGATCGGTTGATTCGTTTAAAAGATATTGTACAACATACAAAACACTCACAGGTACACACACACATACGCGCGCACACGTGAGCACACGCGCACAAACGCACACAAAATATCGTTCTCCTTTTCTATCTTTACATGCACGTTCTTACTCGCGTGAAAGCCGATTCACGCGTTAAAGAGCGTACCAATGTGTAAAGGCAGCTATTAAAGAGCGTATGTATAAAAGCAGCTATTTAATGAGTAAATTTAAATAAATACACCTTTATTCAAAATATACACTTTATTGGTATCAATATTTATATAAAATTAACACTTAATCTAATAACGACTTTAATTCACTTAAATGTGTGATAATACATACATACAGATAAAATATTCAGAATCTATTCGAACCTTATCAAATATGAACACAAGCTTCGAGCACCACAATGAGATATTTCTGTTAACATGATTTGATTCTACCTTCAAAAACCATCCAAAAATATTTACATCATTCGTTTCTACACCCGAATTAAATTCACTACAGCACAGATTGGTGGATACTAAAAAGCACACATTTATTTAAAAAGAAGCCCACTTGTGGTTATTGCTTGTTATTGTTTATTAACTAGAGTTAAATTAAAAAACGTCCAATAAGTATTAAACAAAGATCTATGAAAATGGTTATCATATTTAGATTTAGAAATCTAAGAAAGTGAGTGTGGTTTTGGAATCTTTCTAAAACCATACTCACTTTTAGATTTTACGTGAATACAATTATTGTTTTATCAAGTTTTGTCAGTCAAAAAAAATAGTTGCAAATCACTCAATTGAATATTGAATAATTTTCAAATACAATCTTCAAAAATTCCGCCATTCAAACAACATTCGATGCAAAAATATGTATGAAGTTATTTGAGGGTAGTCTTTATAATCGTTCTTTAAGAACTTTTAAATTGTTAAACTACTAATCCCAATATAAATTATGGACATGCTTGATTTAATATAATTTTATAAAAATTAAGCTACCATTTAATTTTATTTACATATAAAAATAAAGTATACATCGCCTTGCAATGTTAATAAGTTGTACAATATTATAATCTCCATGATATTCTGATGTGCTAAAACTATTATTGTAACATTTGTTTAAACATATGACTCAATCTTATATAACTAAGTGTCATATGTAAATTTTATTTATTAAGTTACTTAAATAAATTTACATCCCATTGTAAGCCGGGCCGCCACCACCTTCGGGAACGACCCAGTTGATATTTTGCGAAGGATCTTTAATGTCACACGTCTTACCTGAAAATTAAGTAAGATGTAATTAATTTAATAACACTATCGAGTTCTCAATTTTAACGCGAATACCACTCATTGAACAACAATACTTTTACGAATATCATCGCGTTTAATTTTAACTTATTTTAAATTCGAAACCCTCCTTAGCTTTTGCAGAGTAAGGGTGACAAATAAGCACACAGTCAACCCTGATAGTAAATGAATTTGTCCATAGGCAAATAGACGTGGTAGAGCCATGATGCAGCTATATTATGGTTGTAGCACGAAAGGGTCGGCTCGACCGGGGAAGGACCACGCTCTCACAGAATACCAGCGTAAAATAGCAGCTTAACGTTGCTTTGTTTCGTATGGTGAGTGTAGAGAACCGGAGACCCATTTTACTGGAAACGAGGCATTCCATCTTAGTCCTCACGGGTGACAACGCATTTGCATTTTGATTCGTAATCGAAGATAGATGTAGATGTCTATGGGCCACAGCAGCCACTTAACATCAGGTGAACTGTGTGCTCGTTTGTCACCCTATCCTATAAAAAAAAATTATGGAATAAAGGTGACAAATAAGCACACAGTCCACCTGATGTTAACTGGATACTGTGGCCCATAGACATCTACATCTATCATTGATTAATAATCAAAATGCGGATGCGTTGCCACACCCTAGGACTAAGGTGGAATGCCTCGTTTCCAGTAAAATGGGTCTCCGGTTCTCTACACCCACCATAGGAAACACAGCAGCATTGAGCTATTTTTCGCTGGTATTCTGTGAAAGCGTGGTTCTTCCCCGGTCGAGCCGACCCATTCGTATTACAACTATAACATCACTAATCCCTATGCTACCTACTTAGTGGCCGTACTACAAAATGAACATGAAATTTCTCAACGACGTACAGCATACACAAGACACACTATAGTTAAAAAGCATAGCCAATATAAAACTTACAGTGAATACAGTTTTGCGCGTTGATTTGTAGCCGCTCACCCTCCCCTGTCTCTAGAGGTACAAATTCATACACACCTGAAAAATAAAACAAAGTAGATACAGTTTTTTATTTTGATTTATGTATTCATATCAGTCTCTAACATTCTCTTTATCATTCCTACTAAAAATAAATTTTACAAGTTATTTTATTTACTATCTCATTATCATGAACATCAGTTTTTTCCATAGTCGAAGTCCTTAGCAGGCATAGGCCTGTTGTCATTATAACTAGGTATGAGTCATATATACTGGTACAGGTCTCAAAACCCAGCATGAACTTTGTTGTACGCAGACCGGGTATATGTACGGCAGAGATCCGGTACCTTATAGGTATTATCGGTATCTCACGAACTACGCGCCGAACGAAATCGTATACACAATGAAATTTGATTTTGAATCAAAAATATACATTTAGATAAAAACATTCTGTTTAGATAAAAATATTGTCCAAAAAAAAATTGATAACTGGTTAGCACATAAATGGTAACTTTTGAGTATAGGTACCTATCATGAATATCATTCAGCGCCTTGTAGTAAATATAGTTTTCATTCGTCTATATTTTCTTTTTTTACTGTTAAACATCGTATGATATTTCGACATACCCAGTGCCGGCCTCTGGAGGTCGCCCGTGAGAAAAAAAGGTTATCAAAATGTTTCAAAGGCCGCTAAGAGTTTCCAAAAGAAGGCCGCTAAGGTCAGCCCTGAACATACCTATACGTATTTCGATACCGGGTTTTCGTACCGGGTATATGTCGATACCCGCACGTTTAAGGCCGGGTATTAAATGTAACGGGTATAGCTCATGCCTAATTATAACCTGTTCACTTTAGCGTGAGTTCTATTTCTATGTAAACATAGAAATAGTGTTTCTTAAAAATTATCGATCTACTATTTCTTTTATAAAACTGAAGTGACAAACGAAGTTACAGTTCACCTGATGGTAAGTGGCTACTGCAGTCCATAGACATCAGCAGCAAACTTCAACCAAAAAATGCTACAGATGCATTGTCACCTCTGGGGACTGAGATGTTAGGCCTCACAGCCTGTAGATAATACGGGAGATATGTAATACCTATAATATACTGAAACCTCATCCTACAGTAAATGAAATGAAAACTATTTATTTTTCTTACCAGGTCGCCACTCCATCTTATGGGGGGTCGCCCTACACTTCCACCTGCCGGTACGAGGGTGCCACTCGAGAACCTTTTTTCCCCATCGGTTGTCAGTTCTTCGAGCTATATAATATATAGTTGGCCGGTTGCTACTTCAGCTTACCAATCCGTTGGGCATGTCGGTCACTCTAATTCAACTGCAGATATCGTCATTTCTAAATTTATAAAGTAGATAAACTCCGAGCATAGCCCTCTCCATAGCTCGCTTAGCGACCTTGAGCTTCTACATACGGCCAGGAGTGAAGGACCACGACTTAAAATTACACAACCCAAATATGCAAAATTCTACACTATCACGCAGAAATTACCTAGCACACAAGTAAATAGTTTCTGGATTGATTTTTGAATGTTAGATGTTTGAAGTTTAGTTGACAGTGGCTTTACTGGATTTCTTTGTAATTTTGCTTTTAAAGAAGTAATTCTCTTATGGTATTTACTTATAAGAAAGTGTTAACCCCATAGGTTATTTTAGTTTTTATAATATACTCATTTTAAACCAGAGTTTGGGTTAAATACTTTTTACATAACTACTTCCAATTAATACTAATAATGTGTTGCATACATGAACAGACCAGAGCAAGCAGCACTCATTCATGAGTACGACGTATGTGGCAGTCAGCAGTAACCAATCACCATAGCAGATGAAGTTGAAGTATGAAGGTTGGCATATTCTCCCCCACACAGAACATTTTCCAATTTGTTTCTAAAATAATATTTAATACTAACCTGCCGGGCAGAACCTTGATTCGGGACCGTCAAAAACTGCGAGATTCCTCTTAACAGGTACCGTGTCATCTTTTAAGGTAAGATGTGGCGGCTGATCCGCTTCATGATTTGTTCCTGTTGGAATGAATAATTATACTTGTTAATATTGCATTTTTGTTGTACATATAATATGTATTTATATTTGTTTGACAAAATTTGATATTAAAAAATATTAGTATAGACAGACCTTAGTAACTAGACAAGTAACTATTTTTCTTAGGAAAATTTAATTTTTGGAACATAAAATCAGAATTTGAAGAGGAAAACTGGCAACATTTTTAAATTTTTTAATTAATTAATAACAGTCTATCAAAAATCTTCTGCAGAACACAGGCCTCTCCATAGATTGCCTCATAACGAAGTATTTGTCATAGTTGGCACGCTTGGCAGTCACATGGGCAACCACAGTTTAAGTAGAAGTTAAAGGCCTGTGACACATGGAATATATTATATGGAGTTTTTCACATATACGTGGCAGGATTGTAAGCGACTTTTCGCTGGCTGATACCAACAAGTGTAAATTGTTATTGTACCTGTGGCGATTAAACAGAATTTTCAATTCTCATTGAAAAATTGAAAACTTATATATACTATATATACCAATAATTAACCGCGTGTACCAGAGGTGGGGACTATCTGACTGCTACGCCGCAAGCCCTAGGTTGAAGCAACAAGCAAGCATTGTGTAAAAAACACTAATTGTTTATTTAGTCTGATCTGTGTTTACTGTGACACTATCCTAGAAACTACCCTCAATTTTATCGCACAAGTGTTACTTCATGCACGGACAGGCAACAAGTAATGAGTATAGGGTTGCCAACCACGCTATATAATACAGCATCTTACAATAAAGTTGTCAAAAATATATTATTATGCGCATGTCTTTACACTCGTGGCATTATATCTCCTGCGCAGTTTATAGCAACTGACAATATTTTGTAAGTTACAAACGTTGTCTGAATCGCGTTCCATCGTCATCAACACTGTTATCGTAAAAAATCTAAATTGAATAGAGAGACTTGCCTGTCAAAGCAACTGATGACAGCAGATCAAATGTAACAACACCATCTGGTTTGGGATACTCGATGGGCTGGCACTCTTTAGCTGGCTTCAGCTTCGCATGGTCAGCACCTATAATTAAAATTGTATTGTATTTACCATGAGCTCAACAGAAAATAAAGAAACCATTGAGAAATTCGCAGATATGTTATGTCTGTAATTGTTTGCGCAGAAATAACATGCCTTAATTCCTCCCTTCCCTTTCCAGCATCGGACAACCGGGCAGTCGGCGGGCCTTCCCTATTTTTGTTATTTTACTACTTTTTATACAGTTTTGTTGTATACAAATTTGTTGATTGACATAGATTGACAATTTACTGGGATTTTATTTCCCAAAAGTTAATTACAAAATCTATGGAGTAAGTGGCCATTCCAAGCTTGTGTTTATACCTTGTATTTAGAGTATTAGAGAATCTCGAAAATCTTTCCTCCACATCAGTTGTGTACATTTTGCACAAAGATAATTTATATAAAATTTATAATCAAGAAATTGAAGTGTATTAAGAATTATACCTATGTCACAACTAATTAAATATAACATTTTAAAATATAAGTCATATTAATAAAAAAAATCGATGTTTGATGCTATTGTAACATTCTACAAGTTTTTTTTTTTTATATAGAAAAGGGGGGCAAACGAGCATGCGGCTCACCTAATGATAAGTGCGATCGCCGCCCATGAACTAATACAACACCAAGGGAATTGCAGGTGCGTTGCCGGCTTTTTAAGAAAGGGAGGCTTTTTTCTTGTAGGTACCTAAGTATTAGTGAATTATAATTTTATACCAAAGATACTTACCACCATGGCTAAAAGTCCAGGGTTCCTTTCCACGAACCAGTGTAGAGAAAGCGGAGTAGGCAATACCCCCGTACAAGCCTAACTTCGTGTGGAACGATGGGCGACAGTTGCGTACTTGCTGCAAAGAATGGTATGCTCTTGTTAATCATGAATCCTAAAATTATGATTTAACTGTCTCCAATTTAATAAATATTTTATTAGAGCAATTTTTTCGAATCCAGAATTCGTTATTTTAAAATTAAGTTGAAGGCATTACATGAGAGTCCGTAGAGAACCTCGTCACTTGATACCGCTACCACAAGTGTACTAATAAGTTTGACAAATCGCTGCTTTGAGTCTCATTCGTACGTACAATGCGTAAGCTTTCCTCATCAAGTATAGTGTGAAGATTACATGATCGTAAAGCGTGTTACCTGTAATTAGATTCCTAGAGTAGATAGCTAGAAAATGAGCCAGATGTTGGTTATGAAATATTTTTTTCTGCACATACCATACCAATGGAATATTCAAAGCAATATTATAAAAGGGATGTAAAATGTAAATCAATATTGAACAGTTATGTTCCTTTACTTAGGCCAAACAAATTAGGAGATGACCAGCAGCGTCTTCCTAATAACGACTAAAAATAAAAAATAAACTGGCGCTTGCCAAGCGTGGCAACTATCGCAAATATCCCCCCTATGAGGCAATCTATGGGGGAGGCCTGTATTCAGATCAAATTAACTTAGACCAGAAGTAACAAGGAAAAAAGTTAACAAAAAAACGTTTATACACATTATTTTTTATTGAGAAGTAATTAAATGTTAAACCGTAATAAAATTTGGTTACCCACAAAAAAGAGTATTTAAAGAGTTAGCATTCAAAGATTCTGTTTGATGTTAAAAAAAAACATTCGGCAATTCTTGTTTCGCAAATAATCTTGATAATGTTCAGTAATTTAATCATAAATAGGTAGCTTACAAGAATATGAGTTAGCGTAATAAATAGTCAATCCGCAAAATAACTACTCGATTAGCAAGATTCAAGATTGGTTAGCAAATACTATGCTAACCCTTTAAATAACACTCCGGCGGAGGTAAAAGGTGGGGGGCACAAAATTAGATTAGTCGCTTACCAAAATTTTATAAACATGAGTCACTCAATGCAGCTTATACAGGGTTATTATTCAAAAAGTAGCCAAATATTAAACTTAAGATCAAATATATAAATAATGATATAATACCGTTATTGCACTTTTTGAAAATACGCGTAAGTAAGGCTTATATATATATATATATATATAGTACTTTTATTTGAAATTATCCCAAATTTAATGTGATTTATGGGCAACGATGTTTTCGCCTACCAATCGACCCTTATGAATGTGTGCGTGCCCAGTAATATCAGTTAAAATAATGCATTGCCACGTATTTTTAATTTAAAAGATAAGAATGTTGATTTTTTTTTATTAATGTTCTTTTCTCCATTCGCCTATGTTACTTATTCTCAACCTTCTTTGCAATTTGGCCGGTTATTGCAAAATAACCCCGTATAATTAATATGCTGTACTAAAAAATTTACAGCTGTCCAGAATGTCTAAAACTGCCGATTGATTTAATAATGTTTGCTAGCCATTGTTTGCTGACCAATTATCTATTTCTGCTGCTAGGTTACATTTATCTGCTGACAAAAACATGAATACTATGCTGACCCTTTAAATAACACACTTCTTTTTATTGTATTATGCATATTACGCATGAATAACATTATTTCTGTAATCGTTAACAGCGGGTGTGAGTATAGACAGCTACAGTGTGCAAGAGAGAGTGTATAGAGTCGTCAGAATTTATAATCTCATTCATTCTCTTATCCTCATACATTTATTTCTTTATCCGCGGGAGAAGTATCTTGTCGTACCTTTAACTCCTTATATACATATGATTCCTTCAATTTGTCTTCATATGTTGTTGGAACTACGCCTTTGTCGTGCGTCGCTTCACCTGACAGAATAAGCTCCATCGCCGATTCGGCCGCCAGCATACCTGAATATTTATAAAATTGATATAGTTATAAATTCACTTTAAAGTACATTTAGTTACATATACAAAAATACACAATATTTTTTACCATAATAAAACAAATCTAAAACAAGGCCTTCAAATTAAATTAAATATAAAATAAAAATATTTCGCGGCATATGATTTAAATAATATGATAATTTTCAATCACAAGTACAGCATAAAATATAAAATAAAAGTTCAATTTTATAGCAAAAATGTTACAATCCTTATTTTTAGACCTGTAGAGCGTAAGTTTAAGGCTGGACTCAGACATTCGTAATGCCTCTCTGAATTCAGAGTCGGAATTCATAATTTGAATTCCGGCAAGCTGCCTCACACATACCTTAAAAATTCAGATAAATTAGAGGTCTCGTATTTCTCGGCTCAGGCACACGTCTCAGATATGGAAGAGGAGAGGACTCAACACACTACTTTTAGCTTTAAATAATAATAAAAAAGAGACGCAATCGAATACACCGGATTCATCTTCTTAATGTAAACAGAGTAAGGGAAAGTCATTTCTACATTATAACTTCACAAGTCGCAAGACTCTACGAGGTCAACTAAAATAATTCATAATCTGATTCCACACCGGAGTTTGTGTGTGCTCGCGTTTTCAAACGTGTAGAAAAACGCACGTTATGAAATCATAATTTGTTACGAGCTTGGGGTTCGAGACAATTAAAAACTGCCGATTGAATTACCAAAGTTGATAATAATAAAACACAATTATACTACTGATCATTTTACTTCGCAGTTGTATCGCTTCGAAGTAATCGCTTGTATCGCAAATTCAATACTGCCTCGGTCGCGGTTTATACCGGCCTTATATAGGGCGTCAGATAGTTTCCAGAATCTTCTACTGTAGAAACATCTAGAATGTTCGAGTACGTATGGGTCTCGATTGACTAGGCGTCGATAGTTCCAGACAGTTCTTCCATGGAAATTTCTAGAACGTTCTTGACTCTCCTAGTTCTGCTACTCGATACTAGAGGGCGCTAGTGGTATTAATTGTGGCGCGCAGTAATATTTTGATCCGGAATTCAAAACGTTACATTCTTACAGAAGGACACTGACCAGACAATCATAATCTGAAAAAATCAGAATGTAAGTGGAGCATAGTCAAATTGTATGCAATTACGGTCTCTCTTGACTAATAATATGAATTTAGATTATGAATTCAGAGAGGTGTTCCGGATGTGTGATTCCAGCCTAAATGTGATAAATCAAAAGAATATTTTCTTTCGAGTAAAATTGCTTTATCTTTGTTATATCGCCATCTTCTTTATTCTATTGGTATGGTCATTTTATTGAACAAAAATTAATTGACTCTCAACTTGGTACGTAAAATAGACGCTAGATGGTCTGAAGACGATTAATTTAAAATTCTATCTCATTCCCTCGCAGGCTAAATCCAATAGATGAGTGTCAAAACAAAAGGGTTCTAAAGAAGTTTGCACTTCAAAAACAGTAGCCAATAAGCAGAGTTGAGACTGACCGCTCTTCATGGCGTTGTGCGTGCCCTTGATCCTGGGCACGTTGAGGTAGCCGGCGGTGTCGCCGGCCAGGCAGCCGCCCGGGAACGCCGGCGCCGGCACGCACTGCCAGCCGCCCTCCACCAGCGCACGCGCGCCGTACGCCACGCGGCTGCCACCTGCGCCACAACACACACCACTTTAAACAATATACCGGGACTTAGGCGGGAACGTGACCGTCGACGGATTGTTGCTCATATTTTATCGCGTAAATAATGGTTTGAAGCAGATGTTGACAGGTAACTGTGATGTAATTTTGTGTTAAGTGTCTGCACATGTGAACTATTAGTGGGAACAAAGAAAAAAGTGTTTTGACGTTGATATAAACCTCAAATTATTTTGTTTACCTAAGCGCCTTAAAAGCTAAAGTTACTGTCGTCATCGTCTATCAGCTGGTCTGAGCTGTCGTCAACATCTCCTAAAACCTTGCAATGTGACGCATCAGCATATTGGAAAGAAGTGAAAGTAATAATATTATAATATTGGATAATTTCTCAATAATTAACACCGGCAAATGTTTTTTTTTTTATAGGATAAGGGCGACAAACGAGCACACAGTCCACCTGATGGGACTGTGACTACACGAGAATTATATATAATATTTATGTAAAAAATGTATCTTTTATATTCTTAATTTTTCTTTTCAATTGCTCTTGGGTTACTATTTCGAACACCAACTCAATCAATTCGTTAATTAACTTTATTAAGGCATTTGCGTAAATTACTATTATTTGTGTAAGTTATATAAACTTTACCATGAAAGGTCATATAAATAACCCTAGCGTCGAATTTAGATTGAAAAAAAATATTCAAAAATATTTAAATGTGCTCCACAGCCAAAATTAAAATGACATGGAGTATAATATTAATAGTGAAACTGGTAAGGCCAACTCTCGCAATTCATACTACCGGTTTAACAACAAATTAACTGAATCAGATCAGGATGTTGCAATGGTTTTTGAGAAATATTTTACTGATATTCCGATCTTAACCACTAAATCATTGAATATTTCTCCTGCCGTCGCCGAATCATTACTTAAACAAAATGTAAATGCGTGTACAAAGAATTTTTTTATTTTTAATACTAGTATCGAATATGGTATGTTTCCTGATTTATTGAAGCATAGTAAAGTAATACCTTTATTTAAATCTGGTAGTACATTAGACCCCGCCAATTTTAGACCAATTCCTGAACTGCCAACAATTAGTAATATTATGAAAAAATTATTCTTGATCAAATGGTAATCTTTTTAATGTAAATAGTTTACTTCATAAAAATTAATTTGGTTTCACAAGGGGTCGCTCGACCACTGGTGATGGTGTTGAGCTGATTAAATATATTTTCAATGCATGGGACAATTCACGGGATGCTTTGTGTATATTTTGTGACATATCCAAAGCCTTCGATTGTGTTCACCATGAAACATTAATCAGGAAACTACAACACTGTGGTGTAAGAAGTAAAGCTCTTAAATTAGTTTCATATTTAAGTAACAGAACGCAAAAAGTTGTCATTAATAGTATGAGCTCTTCTGGGTTGATAGTACAAATGGGCGTGCCTCAAGGCTCAATTCTCAGCCCATTTCTGTTTCTTGTATATATTAATGACTTATCTTACATAGTAGGGGATAACCCTAATATAGTATTATTTGCTGATGACACTTCAATAATTTTCAAATTAAAACGATAATTATTAAAATATGACGAAGTAAATAATGCTATATCTAAATTAGTAAATTGGTTTAATGTTAATAACTTGCATTTAAATGGCACTAAAACGAAATGTATGAAATTCATAACTCCAAATGTCAAACAATTAAATACGAATGTAAACTTCAATAGAGCCCCCATAAATATAGAAATCTTACCAGTGTGGAAACAGCTAGACTTGTTTACTTTAGCTAATTCCATAGCATAATGTCGTATGGTATTTTGCTATGGGGATACGCGACTGACACTGAAATTATATTTGTTTTACACAAGAGGGCCATAAGAGCAATCTATGATTTCTTATATTTACGCGAACACTACACATTTAAATTAAACTAATTTTACGGATATTATCGCGTATATTAACTTATTTTATATTCCCGACGTTTCGAGCACTTTACAGCACCCATGGTGACGGGGGGGACTGAGGAATATGACATCCCAATGTCATAGTTAACCACGGCTACCTCCAGATTAAAATACACAATTACACAGTTAATATACGCGATAAAATCCGTAAAATTAATTTTATTTAAAGCAATCTATGATTTAAAACCTAAAGAGTAACTCCGACAAAAATTTAAGGAAATTAATATATTAACTTAAAAATAAAGGTAGTTATACAAGAAAAGTGATATTCATTCTGTAAATACTACGAACAGACACAAGCTAGTAGTACCAGTTACTCGACTCCACCGAGTGTCAGTAATTTATTCTTGGGGCGATGTATACGCTTTTACAACAAAATCCCAGAAAATATACAAAATTTGAGCTGCTCAAAGTTCAAAAACTTTATTAAACAAAGTTTGTATAAAAAGGGTTATTATAATAATATGAAGGAATTTATGGATGATAATAACCCTTGGGAATAAGGTGATCATTACCAAGCTATGTCTAATTTGTTTTGTGTGGTTAATTGTGTAACATACATAATTGTAAGCTGTTATTAAAAAAAAAAGTCCCGTTCTGTTTCTGTTTCTAACAACGAAATTAAATTTATAGCAATTTTATAAAAATGTAGCATTTTATTTTTGATACACAGTATAATATGTAAAACACATACTTATTATTTTAAGGTTTTCATGAGTTTTCTTTAGCAAATGAATTACTGGACAATAATAAATTAAATAATAATATATATTTTAATACTAGAAACCCACCCCAATCAAAAACAATTATTATAACAATTTTTCTTTCTTTCAAAAAAAAAAAAGTCTTTAATTTTTTCGTTTAAAATATAGCCTAGATCCCTCCTGGCATTGCATATCTGTTCATAAAGTTTCATCACAATCGGTTCTGTCATTCCGAAGATTAGCCCGGACAGACAGACAGACAAACAGACGAAATTGTAAAAAATAATTGTTTATTTCTTAATAGCATGCAAATAACCACCTGAGCTTAATAGAAGCCAGGTATTTCAATATTAGAGACAGACATTTCAATTTTATTTATAAGTGTAGATATAAAGCAATAGATAAGTAAAACTGACGAAAATTTGTTAGTAGTAAGTAAAAAATAATGTAATTTTAATAAGCTTACCTTCAAACATTGGCTTTACATATGGGTGTAACTTAAATCTCTGGAATTCTCGGAAAGGACTTAAATATGGGTTGACATAGTCCAAGCCAACTACGAATCCAACAGCAACTAATGGCGCCTCACCCTCTGCTGCATTAAGGTGATATATGAATGAACCACCATAAGTGTTTTTATCTAAGGGCCAGCCCACTGTATGCTCGACTAAACCTGGTTTGTGATGCTGAAAAAAATTTAATTTATATTATAAATTACTACAATACCGCTTCTCTAGCAACTTAGAGTCTTAGCGAAGTACGCGAGCAACCCGGGATGAAATTGTTACTAGAAAATTTTAACTGCCGATTTACTACTTGTTCAGTGGATAAGGAAAACATCGTGAGGAAACTTCATGTCCGAACAATAAAATATTTCGAAAATATATGAACACAATCTGGAGCAGTGTGGTGGATTAATCGTACTATAACTATTTATTTACGTGGTTGAGCCACGCTGCAGCTATATTAATAGTATAGTTGTAGCACGAATGGGTCGGCTCGACTGGGGAAGGACCACGCTCTCACAGAATACCAGTTCAAAATAGCAGCTTAACGCTGCTGTTTCGTATGGTAAGTGTAGAGAACCAGAGACCTATTTAACTGGAATAGAGGCATTCTATCTTAGTCCTCACGGCTGATAACGCATCTGCATTATAATTCGCAAACGAAGATAGATGTAGATGTCTATGGCCACAGCAACCACTTACCATCAGGTGGACTGTGTGCTCGTTTGTCACCCTTATACTATAAAAAAATAACTCAAAGAAATGTGAGTAGGCCTGCCCAGCCATGGGAAGTACACATGCTCGAATATTACTTACTTTAAATTTAATACAAAAATAAGTCATTTTCTTTTCCTGGTACCCTATTCTATTGCTCTTGTTGAAAAAGCAGCGGCACTGATAATAACGACCCCAAAGATGGGCAAATTGCCCTTCTTAATACTAAGCAATTAATAAATAAGTTTGTGCTCCTTCTATATGTAATTTAATATGTAATAAATTAAGATCATTCATTCATCATAACTTATCAAAAGTCGGCCGCTGAAAATAGTCCTCAATAAACTTTGGGAGAGGGATATCTAGCACAGTTGCCTTGTTCGGCAGACGAGTTGGCTACCTCAGTTTTTAATTATTTTGAGTTTTTTTTAGGAAGGTACTGCTGCCCATCTCCTGTTTCTGCTTCCCTGTCATCTCCTATGAGAGACACAGCACGACATGGGATTTTATAATGGATTAAATTACTCTTACGCCACCAATACATGGCAAAATATGTTATATAATTATATACAGGGTGGAAAAAACTAACGGGACATGAAGGTAATACTTTACCACTACCCACCTACTTCGCCTGTATTACTTATTCTGAACTTTCTTTGCAATTTGGCCGGTTTTTGCAAAATAACCACATGTTGGAAAAAACGAACGGGCCATGGAGGTAAAGAGTATTAAATATTGAAGATATTAAATTTCACTCAAAGGAAACATTCTTTTATATAGCAATGCAGTAACACTGAAGATGATATTTTCTCTTCTTTCTTCTCCTTAAAGCGTCGAAATCTCTTGGCTTTGGTTGGTTTAGCTTGTCTTCCATACAATGATACACTCTATATAGCATTATACCCACTCTCAATAACGACAACAATTAAATAATAAAAAGTACAAAATTGTCAGAAAAATACGCTCCAAGTGAAATTTTTAATGTTGATGAAGCAGGAATTTTCTATATGTTGACCCCATATAAAACTCTGAAATTTAAAGAGGAAAAGTGTGTGGGAGGAAAGCTCTCCAGGGAGCGTATTACAGTTCTTGTGACTGCTAATATGGATGGCACAGAAAAAAAAGCTGATGGTGACAGGAAAATCGAAAAATCCACTGTGTTTTAAGAACATTAAAAAATTGCTAGTGACGTATACAGCTAATAAATCAGCTTGGATGATCAACTTTTTGAAGAAGAATTGCGAAAGTGCCCTGCCCACCCTCTTATACAAACCCTCAAAACATAGAATTGGCATTTCTTCCTCCAAATACGACTAGTGCAATGGATCAAAGTGTGATTAAATTCCTCAAGGGTTACTACGGAAGGATATTATTGTTGCGCGCCAATATTAATGTCTTGTACATGGCAACACTAGTTACACTAGCGCCCTCTAGTGTCGAGTAAAAGAAAGTGTTGCGCGCCACTATTAATGTTTTGTACATGGCAACACTAGTTACACTAGCGCCCTCTAGTGTCGAGTAGCAGAACTAGGAGAGTCGAGATCCTTCCAGAAATTTCGGGACCGATATGTACTCGAACATTCTAGATGTCGCTACAGTAGAAGGTTCTAGAAAATATCTGAGGCCCTATATAAGGCCGGCATAAACCACGACCGGGGCAGTATTGAATTGGCGATACAAGAGAATACTTCGAAGCGAAATAACGGCGAACTGTGTGATTTTAGATCGTAATTAGTGTTGTGTAATTAAAGTGTTAATTTTGGTAATTCAATCGGCAGTTTTTAATTGTCTCGAACCCCAAGCTCGTAACATTATTATTGATGGAGCTAATCGAATGGTAAGACTTCAATTCGAATTAATATACTGCATGCAGTAAAATTTTTATCTAAAGCCTGGGAAGAGGTGACACCTATAACTATACAGCACTCTTTTCGACATGCTGGACTTTGTACAAATTCTATGAGTGATGAGGTGGAAACGGAACCGGAGTTTGATAGCAACAACGACCTTCCATTAACTGAGTGGATTCAACAATTCAACATGGCAGAAAATTTTACAGAAAATCTTCAAACCTACGTCAAAGTAAACGACTGCCTGCTTACAACAACTTTACTCACAGATAAAGGAATTTTGGATTTGGTAAGAAAAACTGAGGATCAAGAACAAGGAGATGAAGAAGATGAGCCTGAGCCTCCGCCGAGCATTAAAGAAGCTCTTGAAGCGACAAAATCATTGAAAAAGTACATTCTTTATCACCAAGATGACTCAATATCGCAAAATATGAATAAAATAAATAAAAAAAATACAACACAATTACTAAATAATATACAATTACGCAATAGCATTCAAATAACAATTGCTTTTATGTAATTACTAACACTCGTCTGAAATAAACTTTTTCTTTTTCTAATACAGATTTTTCTTTATTCCATTTAACAACAACTCTCTATAAAGTCAAAATATGCACGGTCCCCTGAGTGTCGTTAGAATTAACACTATATATTATAATTATTAATATGTAGCCTTTATAAACTAATACACACCTCTGGTTTAACTTCCCACAATTCTTTCAGTCCAATACCATAGGACTGTGGTTCACTTTTTTCCCTTAAGTTAAATTTACTAGACACCATCTTTGTCAAATGACCATGACACCCTGAAAAACATAACAGAAAAATATTTCACTTTAATATTTTGTACCAGGAAATAAAATAAGTATGTAACTAACATAAGTTTTTTTTTGCATAGAATATGAGTTTAGCAATGATGTTATATTATTAAAGTAATGTCATCATCATCGACATACCCTTCTGTTAAAGTAAATTGTATAAATAAAATGTGTTAAATGCCATTAAATGTCTACAAAATTGGAGGTCATCAATATTCATTACGATAATTGTGAAATACCCAATTATTAAAAACTGTAATTATTTTATTTAATAATTGAGAAAATATCATAATTACTATCATCTCATTAATATTTAATTAATTTCTAATTTTGAATATTTTAAGAGTTATGCAGCCCCCTCGGTCTTAGGAGACTAGATAAATCAGACTACCTCCAATTTTCAACCACATATAGATTTTGTTTCCACCAAAAGAAAAAGGGCTTACAGTAACAAAAAACAGCGGTAGAGCCACGCGGCAGCTTTAGCTGTCGCACGGATGGGCCGGCTCGAACCGGGGTGGTACCACGACGTCACAGAAAACCAGCGTGAAGTAGAGGTTTACCTCTTTTTTTTATAGGAGAGGGGGCAAACGAGCATGCGGCTCACCTGATGGTAAGTGACTACCGCCGCCCATGAACAACCGCAACACCAGGGGAATTGCAGATGCGTTACCGGCCTTTTAAAAAGGAGTAGGCTCTTTTCTTGAAGGTCCCTAAGTCGTATCGGTCCGGAAAAATTGCTGGTCGTAAACTATTCCACAAGGAAGTTGTGCGAGGAAGAAAACATCTTCTAAATCGCACAGTGGTGGACCGCCAATCATCCAGATGGTGTGGATGGTATCGGGAGTTCTGCCGCGATGTGCGTTCGTGAAATTTGGCGGCTGGGATTAATCCGAACAATTCCTCAGAGCACTCCCCATGGTAAATGCGAAAGAAAATGCAAAGAGGTGCAACATCTCTTTGCATTTTCTTTGCAACATCGCAGTGCCAATGAGTCGAGCCGATCGGAAAGGACTCGGTCGTCGACGATTCGAGCCGCTCTGCGCTGGATGCGGTCAAGTGGAACGAGCTGGCACTGCCCAGAGGAGCCCCAGCCCAGAGATGGGAACAGTATTCCATGTGAGGCCGAACCTGCGCCTTGTAAAGTTGCAGGCGTTGAGCTGGCATGAAATACTGTCCCGCTCTGCTGAGCACGCCAAGCTTTTTAGAGGCCAATTTGGCCTTCTCTTCCAAGTGACCACGAAACAGCACGTCACTCGATATGTCGACACCGAGGATTCCGATACTGGCTGAGGCAACAAGGAGAGTACCTTGAAACTGAGGAGATACGACAAAGCGGTTCTTTTTAGCGGTAAACGCGCAAACTTGTGTCTTCTGAGGATTAAACTGGACTAGATTTAGTCGCCCCCAATTCGAGACTTTGTCCAGCAAAGACTCGACTTCAGACACAAGTTTGTTCCGGTACTCGGTGACGTTTTCCCGAGAAATATTGGCACGGCCGGTGTATAGAGCATCACCAGTGCTGTCATCCGCATAGCAATGAATGCTACCGGCTTGCAACATATCATTGATATGCAGAAGAAACAGCGTTGGTGATAGTACGCAGCCTTGTGGAACACCAGCGTTAATAGGCTTATAGTCGGAGCATGCACCGTCTACAACGACCTTGATGCTCTGATCTGCAAGAAAGCTGGTGATCCAATTGCATAATTTCTCGGGAAGCCCATAGGAAGGGAGCTTCGAAAGAAGCGCTTTGTGCCAAACCCGATCGAAGGCCTTCGCAATGTCCAAACTAACGGCCAATGCCTCCCCCTTGGACTCTACTGCCTCCGCCCATCTATGAGTTAAGTAGACCAGAAGATCACCAGCTGATCGACCCCGACGAAAACCGTACTGGCGGTCACTAATCAGCTGGTGATCCTCAAGGTACCGTATGAGGTGGCAGTTTATAACGGATTCCATTATTTTGGAGAACAAGGGGGTGATGGCGATAGGCCTGTAGTTGGACGGGTCTGAGCGGTCGCCTTTTTTAGGGATCGGGTGGACAAAAGCTGTCTTCCATGATTTCGGGACTACGCCTAGGGAGTAGGAGTACCGGAAAAGACGCGTTAGAACCGGTGCCAACTCCGGAGCACACGTCCTCAGCACAATTGGGAGGATTCCGTCAGGCCCACTCAACTTGTGGATGTCAAGGGAGAGGAGTACTCTGCGAACCGAGCGCTGTGAGAACCGCACATCCGGCATGGAGCACTCACACCGCGGGATGGTCGGCGGTGTGTTCCCCCCGTCATCAACAGTCGAGTTGGACGCAAAAAGGGAGCCTAAAAGGTCGGCTTTCTCTTTTGCGTCGTGGGCCAGTGAGTCGTCCTCCCTGTACAGAGATGGTAGTGATGGCTTACAGAAATTCCCTTGGACAGCCTTGGCGAGAGACCAGAATGCACGGGTTCCCGAAGGAAGGCGAACTAGTTTCTCGCCAATTCTGCCTATGTGCACTGACTTTGCCTTGGCAATAACTCTTTTGAAGGACCTGGAGGCGAAGTTATACTTCTTTTTAAATATGCTGGTGTTTACATCCTGAGTCGCCGAAGCCTCAGCCCAGGCTTGATAACACTCCTGTTTACTGCGTAAAGCAGTCTTACAGGAGCGACCAAACCAAGGCTGAGATCTGCCTCCGATGGGTACCACAGATGATGGAATTAATAGTTCCATTCCCTGTAGCACCACATCAGTGACAGAGTCAGCAACAGCGCTGGAATCAGCCGGCGAGAAGCAAACCCGCCCCCATGGGTAGGAAGCAAAGAAAGACCGCATTCCGTCCCAATCCGCCGACCTGTAATGCCAAACACGGCGGTAACCTGCAGAACGCAACCACGAGGGGAGCGTGAGTGGCACCACACTCCGGATCAAACAATGGGCCGAAGAGCCAAGAGGGGCATCGACGGAAACCTGATATCCGTCCGGATGAGAGGTCAGCAGAAGGTCCAACAGGGAATGTGTATGATCCTCCACATCTGGAATCCGCGTAGGCGATGTAACCAGTTGTGTCAGACCATATGCCAAGGCAAAGTTATAAACAGATCTCCCCGCATGATCGGTTAAACGTGAACTAGCCATTCGGCGTGGTGGGCGTTAAAATCGCCAAGGATCACTATCTCTGCGGATGGGACCTGTTGTAGCAAGGAATCTGTAGCCGTTTGGACGTGGTCGATGAGTCGGTCTGTTTCGGCATTACCGCTATGGGCACACGTAGACGCGCGGATGGTCGTCGCTGTCTACGCGTAACCAAAGGATGGAAAGGTCCGAACCTTCAAGACTGCCCAGGCGTCGAGAACAGATGTCCTCTCTGACATACACGCAAACTCCAGCCCGAGACACAAAGGAGTGCTCCAATTTGTACCCCGGGTAGGAGAGATACGAAGTATCAGCCGGAGAGGACACCTGCGTCTCGGTAAGAAAGAGCAAGGCCGGCTTCGCCGTCTCGAGATGGTAGTGGACGGCGTTTAGGTTCGAGTGAAGTCCCCTGATGTTGCAGAAATTCACGGATAGCGTGGTAGGGGTCGCCTTAGTCTTGTTGCTCAGTCAGTCAGTTGCCCCGGGCAGTTATGTTTTTGAGCGGAATTTAAGAATACGCGGGGCAGCCTGAGCACCCACGCTCAGGAGTGGAATAGCATGGTCGTGGATGCTCAGCGGTACTGGTACCCTCCTGGGGTAGTTTATGACGTAATTCCGCTACCATGTTGATTGGGGGGGGGGGGGGGGGGGGAATTGGGCCTCCGGTCACCTGCACTCACCAGAAGAAACGCGGAAGCAGAGCTTCCACTTCACGCCGGTATTCTGTGAGGTCGTGGTACTAACCCGGCTCGAGCCGGCCCATACGTGCAACAGCACAAGCTGCTGTGTGGCTCTACCACCGTTAATACCTAAATACATAAACCTTTGCGTTTTGCTTGGTGAGTGCGCATCTACATTTTGATTTGTAGTAGAGGATAGATGTAGATGTCTATGGGCCACAGCAACCACTTACCATCAGGTGGACTGTGTGCTCGTTTGTCACCTTTACCCTATAAAAAAAAAAGTATCTTGAGATCTCTTAACACATATTAGGTGCTGCATTTAATATATGCTCAGTGGTGAAGAAATACATCTAAGACAATCTAAATATCTAAGGAATTAAATTTTTTTTTGAAAAATTATGAAGATTAGTATGATGATGATGGAAACCTTTTAGCTACAATCAGATTTTTATTTATTTATTCTTTATTGCATTCCTTAAAACAAAAGAATACAAAGGGCGGACTTAATGCCTAAAGATTATATATCAGTAATAATAATTGTATTATAGTATTACCTATGATAGTATATACACAATTTATTTACCTTCAGCAAAAATAGTGATTTTAGAATGGAACTCCATGCCCCTTTCAAACATATCTTTAGGGCTGCCATCTTTAGCGATTCCCACATCGCCAGTCGCTACACCTTTGAGGGAACCATCCTCACGATACAATAACTCCGCACCAGAACAGCCAGGCCACACCTTGAAATTAATAGTACAATTAATAGTACATCCACAAGGTGGTAGTACTCCTTTCCTGACTACTCCTTTGCTCTGCAGCAAGCTGTAAAGGATATTATCTATAATATGTAAAATGTAATGTCCTTGCTATTCAGGGAATACGGGGTACGTTTATTTAAACACACTGAACCCGTAAACGATCATTTATTCACCCAACCCAGGGTAGCCGTAGAAACCGTTATTATTATCTACCGACACAATATGCTACATCCCTCCACACTTAGATTACAACGTAATATACAATATATAAGCAGTTAGAACAAATGCTTAAGTAGTATACCTAATTAATGATTAAGTACCACATTTTTATTTGGGAAGCAAACAACTATGCTTTATGTATAATTGATGGACATATTGCGCTTACACAATTTTAGTATAAAAAAAATCAAAAACACATATTATACTACAATACATACATTGTTTTATGTATAATAAAAAAAATGACATTAATCACTCGACTTTAACACCTCTCCTCTACGTTTATTAAGAATACACAAAAAAAACAATTATAAACAAAACAAATGTTTATATTAGATTTAGTAAGTATAAATATTATAGAACTAAGCGTTTAGGTGGTTTAATAGCGCGGCCAGATCGAGTGCGCATGGTCGTGGAGGTTTGAGGCGGTGGGGACACGTCTCCCATGTCAGACTCCGCGTGAGTCAGCACCGGTGCCGCCTCACCGCCGTCAGGTCCCGGTGGTTGTGCGGCTAGCGCACCACCTGGGCTATTGAGAGGTAATGATGCAGGTGTATCATGAGAGGCACTGGGACCTGCCGTGCTCCCAACGTCCATATCCTCAAACGTCCACGCCGCTTCACCACGACTGCTGTTATATGATTTGGCTGACATTAACTGATTCACATGACGTCTCCAAATGATATCGGATCTCTGTATCGCCACATCATATAGAACTTTACCTAAGCGTGCAACGACCTGGCCAAGGATCCATGTTGGTCTTTTGGGATTGGCTCGATAGTCTCGTACCCAAACTTTCTCCCCAATCGAAAATGCTTTAATTTTACCACCAAAATATAATTTTTGACAATTTTGATTCACTAACACATTTTTATGTATTAGAGGTTTTCGATCTAAATTTGAACGCTTAACAGCGATTAAATCAAGTTTACAACGTAAATTCCGACCGAACATAAGCGATGCAGGTGATACTCCCGTCGTACAATGCGGTGTATTCCGATAGTGAAACAAATAGTTATCTATGTGATTAGCGAAGTCTTTAAAACCACAATCCTTGATAGCATTCACAATAAACCGCTTACAAGTCTTTACTGCGTTCTCGGCGAGTCCATTACTCTGTGGCGAGTACGCAGGAGATAAAATGTGAGTTATGCCATTATCAGTACAGTACTTAAAAAATTCAGACGAAACAAAGGTTTTGGCATTGTCTGTGACTATTTTATTGGGAATGCCGAAACGTGAAAAAATTTTTTTTAATTTATTGATAAGTTCTTTTGATAAAAAATTTGACATTAATTCGCATTCAATCCATTTACTATGCGCATCGACTAGTACAAGAAAAATCTTCCCATGAATTGGGCCGAGGTAATCTAAATGGATTCTTTCGAAAACAGAGTCAGGCCACCCCCACGACTCCAAGCGCGCTTTCGCAGGAGACGGTCGCAAGGATATGCAACGACCACAGTTAGAAGCCATGTTTTCTATGTCACTGTCGATACCCGGGTACCAACAGCGTTCTCTAGCAATCATTTTCATTTTAATTACTCCTAAGTGCGCAGCATGCAGTTCTTGTAGCACAGCAGCCCTATAAACAGTAGGCACTACAATTCTGTGACCTCTCATGAGAACTCCGCTATCAACATATAATTCATGCTGGCATCTATTATATGGCAAAAGTTCTGATGACACTTTCCGTGGCCACGATTTGGTCACATATTGCATGACAAGTGACAGAACTTTATCTTTATGAAAAGCGGCCCGCAGCTCGTCTAATGAAGCGGGCAGTGGCGCGCCAGCAGCCGCTAGCGCGTTAACATAACTGGTGACGTCATCTACGTGCGCCGTATCCTGCGACGAATCACAATCAATGGGAAACCGACTCAAATAATCAGCTACATTAGATTCACTATTAATGAACTCAATTTTATAATTATAGGCAGCAAGAAATAAAGCATACCGTTGCAGTCTCGCTTCGGACATATGAGGAACTCCTTTATCGGGGGAGAAAATAGAAAGGAGGGGCTTGTGGTCTGTTCTCAAAATAAATGGTTGCTGGCGGCCATAAAGATATTGATGGAATTTTTTGATTCCATAAATAATGGCAGTCGCTTCTTTCATAATTTGACTATAGCCACGCTCACTTTTAGTGAGAGCACGCGAAGCGTAACTGATCGGGCGCTCGGCACCCGCGGGGTAGCGCGCCGCGAGCACCGCGCCTAGCCCGCCGGGGGCCGCATCCACTGTCAGAACCAGCTGCTGCCGCGGGTCAAAGTGCGCCAGTACGCGACTTGAACATAACTCGTCTTTGATAGCATCGAATGATTTCTGATGTTCCGCCGTCCATTCCCATTTCATATTTTTTCGCAGTAAATTATGTAATGGTTCAAGAATGACCGCCGCTTGCGGTATAAAACTACGGTAAAAGTTAACTAAACCCAAAAATGATTTTAATTGTCGGACGTTTCCTGGCACCCTTGCCTGTGTAATAGCCTTTATTTTATCCGGATTTTTATGAAGGCCAAAACGATCAATAACAAAACCCAAATATTCTATTTTATTTTGGAAGAATGAACATTTCGAGCGCTGGAGCATTAGCCCGGCGTCTCTTAGACGATTTAGTACCAAATCGACACGTTCCCAATGTAATTCGGCGGGCGGAGCCGCGATTAACAAGTCGTCGAGGAAACACTCCACGCCATCTATGCCCTGCAGCAGTTGCACCATAGCACGCTGGAACAAAGCTGGCGCATTTGACAAACCGAACACTAATCTTGTATAAACAAAAAGACCTTTATGCGTATTGATACATGTATATTTTTGTGACTCATCATCTAGAAGGAACTGATTATAACTATTTGATAAATCAAGCCTACTAAAGTAACGACAATCGTGTAACGATGCACATAACTCACTTATTTTGGGCAATGGATAAGAGTCAATTATTAGGGCCTTATTGATCGTCATAGAATAATCGCCGCAAATACGTACGTCATTATTTTTCTTTAATACTGCAACAATCGGTGACGCGTAATTAGAATAAGAAACCGGTTTGAGTATGCCAGCGCGCACTAATCGGTCCAACTCTGCGCTTACCTTATCTTTGAGCGCAAAAGGCACCGGCCTAGCTTTAAAAAATTTTGGTGTGACACCTTCTTTTAAGTGTAGCGTTAACTTATATTTATTGAACGTGCCCAACCCACCAGAAAATAATGTTTTATATTTCGACAAAATAAATTTTTCTTTATCTACTGAACAATAATTTAATGAGATAAAAGCGAAATTAAATTTTGTCATAAAGTCCCTACCGAGCAAGGGAACCGGGCCATTTTCAACAACATAAAATTTTATATTATGCGTTACATTATTATATGTGACTGGTAAGTAACACATGCCCAATAGCCTTAAAGCAGAACCACTGTATGTATATAAAGTTTTATTGGACTCACCGAGTGACAAGTTTCGCGAGAAATACATATACCATATGCGCGCGGGCAGCGCTGATACCCCACTACCGGAATCAACCTCCATACTAAGAGTAACACCTCGCACCATAACTTCAAGAGATATCGGTTTTTCTTCCTTATATAAAATAGTATTAATACGTGATTCATTATTTATATCTCTAACATTATTAATTGGTGAAAAATCATTACATTCGTCCCTATCACTACCTTCCAAAATGTAATTATTCTGCATACCATTATGCTGCTTTTTCACAATTTTGTCCTTTTTGGTTGTAATCTCGTTATGTACGTAGTATCTCTTAGAACACATTCTTTTTAAATGCCCTTTTGCACCACACAAATTGCACGACAGATGACGATAGCCACATACGGAGGTATCGTGTGACCTCGCACCACACACACTACACCTGGGGGCTCCGCCGTCGCCGCCACCACGGGCGCGACCGCCTCGTGTACCGCCGCTTGCAGTAGCTTTTCGCCGCGAGTCCGTATATAGCACAGGTTCAGACTTAATTAACTCTGCCGAATCGCCAGCGGAAACAATACGCTGCGCACTTTCAACTGCACAAGCTACTTCAAGTGCCTTATTTAGTTTTAGCTGATTGGGATCTTCTCTAAATAATTTCTCTCGGGCCGACGCAGTGTCAAGACCAAGTACAAAACGATCCGTCAAACACATCTCTAGAGCTGTACCAAAACAACATGCCGATGCTAGTCCACGAAGACGAGCAGCATACTCCACCATTGACTCGTGAGGGTCCTTTTTAGCCGAATAAAACTTTTGTCTTTCAGCGTATATACACTTTTTTGGGTCGAAGTGGCCGTCAAGCGCAGCAATAATCGCCTTGTAATCGGTTGATTCAGGCGTATTTGGATACAATAAATCACGAGTAAGACGATATGAGTCTTGTGACATGCTATTCAATAAAATTGCCCGTCTTCTCACTCTTTGAGCATCTGTGATATCGTCGATTCCATTTGCAATAAAGAAGTTGTTTAGTTGTGCTACGTGTACCACCCACTCATCTATTTTGCAATCGAAAACTGGCACTTTCCCATAGATAGACATTTTAACGCGTGACTTCTACTGTAGGTTAATCGATTATTAATACACAAAATAAACTCGTCGCCACTGTAATGTCCTTGCTATTCAGGGAATACGGGGAACGTTTATTTAAACACACTGAACCCGTAAACGATCATTTATTCACCCAACCCAGGGTAGCCGTAGAAACCGTTATTATTATCTACCGACACAATATGCTACACACGAAAACTTTTTACCGCATTGAGGTGTGAGATTTGTCATAGTTAAATTTTATACGGAGAAGGACACCCCCTCAAAATCTAAAATTTATTTAATATATGTAATAAAAATATATTGCATAAATAACATTCATTATTTACTTACTACTGCCAATCTTATCTTAAAACACATAATGGTCTGTGCTCAAACAGTTGCACAAAGTAGAGTTTGCAGCCTAAGTAAAGTGAAAGTTACAGTCTTTATACGTTTCACTGCTGGACACAGACTTCCTCTCACTTCTGAGAGGATTTTAGGGCAAGGAAGTGTCCGCCGCGCTGCCCCAATGCGTGCTGGAGGAATCCACATGTCTTAGAAATCTTGTTTTTTTCACACATGCAGGTTTCCTCACGATGACGATTTTCCTTCACCGCCGAGCACGTTATCAATCAGCACTTAAAATTTCAATTAACAATTTCATTCATTCGATCGAAATCGAGGATTGAAACCGGGATGCTGCTAGCGTACTGTGAAATTTGCAGCGAGCGCTAAACCCATGCAGCTACCACGACTCATGTCGCCAAAATATTGACTGAGTGAGTTGTGAATTTTGTGCAATTTTAAATATTCCTTTTTCGATAATGTGTACGGTGTATATTAAGACAAAAGGGCTATTTTGTATTTTGCATAATAAATATGTGTTTTAATATTAATGTGCTATTAAAAGCATAGATGATACATGTATATAGATGTACATTCATACTGTGAGTTGGAAATGAAATACAACTTTAAATTGTATTTTTTTTTAATTTTATAAACTTAAAAATTTTATGAGTTACAATCGAATTACGACCACCAGGCAAGTACTATATAATTATATAGTAGAAATTAATAGTCTTTATTAATTTATAGAAATCTATACAAAGAAATAAAATTGAAGTGTCTGTAATGTCAAAATTACAGTTATTTTGCTAAATGCATATGAAAGTAAATACGGTACTTATAACTAAAATACTATTTTTAAAATTTTTGTCTGTTTGTTTGTTCCGGCTAATCTCCGAAACGGTTGGACCGATTTTAACGGGGCTTTCACTGGCAGATAACATATTTCATAAGGAGTAATTTAGGCTACTTTTATTTTAGAAAAAGAATTAATGTTCCGCGCAAAAACATAAAAACCCCAACACGCGAGCGAAGTCGCGAGGAACAGCTAGTTTATCAATAAAACACCAAAACCAAAAGATTTTTCGTCTCTCTGAATATGAGGCACTAGGTGATAGAACTCCTTATCTCAGTAGGAGTTTGCCTGGTTAGGTTAAGTTACCTCTTACCTATTTCTGCCATCAAATAGAAGTGCCTGCACTGCCGTCTTCTGGTCGGAAGGCATAAAGAGCCAGTATATTTACAGGCTGAGAGGCATTCCATCTTAAACCTCAGATGTGACAATGCAATTCTAGGCATCTTTGTCTAAAGTTGGCTGTAGCCATGTACTGCAATAACCACTTACCATCATCAGGTGAACTGTAAGTTCTTTGGTATTTAACTAATACTCGTATGTAACATTATAATGTTTACTTATTTTAGATATATTCAAAGTAGTGAATGTCTGTGTGTATAAGGGTGTTTTTGTGGCACTATAATATGACCTATTTAGTTGATTTAATCAAGGCATTTCGTCAAGACTCATTATAGAGATCATTTTCATTAATTTTTTAGTTTTCTATTAGCATTCACAACTGTAGAAAGTCAACTTGGCTAAGCCTATTGACCCACAATGTATAGGAAGCTGATGAATATAATAACATATTTTATAGGCGACTAGATGAGTCTAGCATAATATCATCATCATCATCATTACAGCCCTTCACAATTCCACTGCTGAACATAGGCCTGCCAAGGAATACCACAAAGCACGGCATAATATAGCAATGCCTTTTTGTTTGTGACCCTGTGCCTTCGTGGGCGCACACACAAAAACTTACCAGTTTCGTCGAAATGGGATGACTGATTTCATGAAAAAATTATCAGAATCTTTTGTGGGTACCAACTCACCAAAGCTTCATCGCAATTAGATGTATGGTATAGGAATGCATGAATGACAAAGAAACAAATATTAATTTATATTCCTATACTAGCGACCCGCCCTGGCTTCGCTTGAGTAAGGTTTATTAAAGTGGTGTTATTTAGATTTAAAATAATTAAAGACCATTTATTTTCGAAAATTTAAATTTTTTTTTCTAATAAGATATCATGTTTTTCAGATAAAATATAGTCTAAATCACTGATAGCATTGCTATTTATCTGCTCATGAATGTTTTATTACAATTTATTAAATCATTCCGGAAGATTAGGCCTAACGGACAGATAGGCAGACAGACAAAAATTTTAACAAAGATTATTCTTGACTTATTGGCGTACAAGTGACCCTCTCAGCATATAAGGAAGTCATTTCAATATTACAGACAGACACTTCAATTTTATCTATATGTAAAGACATGATTAATGAGTTTATTTCATTGTGAGAATGAAAATTATAGATATATCTTACCTCAGCTCCCAGTGCCTCAGCTTGCTCAGACAACCACCGCACCAGGTGACCCAATCTTACTACATAGTTGCCATGATTGTAATTTGGTAAACCTGGAACCAAGTTATTGTATACTGATCAAATAAAGCAATCTTTAAGAATCCACTACCCCATATAATCTCGTGGGTGTCGTAACAGGCGACATAGGGAAACAGAAACAGAAGATGGGAACAGTATCTTACTGATAATAATTCAAAAAAAGAGACAGAGAATAAGAGTGACAAACAAGCACCGTGACCACCTGATAGTAAGTGAATGCTGTGGACCATAGGCATCTATATCTATCTTCAATTAAGGACTAAGCTGGAATGCTTCATTTTAGTATAAAGTGTCTCCGTTTTTCTCACCGAACTAAACCCAGCATCATTAAATTACTATTTTACGCTGGTATTTATTATTGCTACAATAATAACACAGCGGCAGCGTGACTTTACCACTAATTGTTTTTGTTATACTTTTATCCTAACACTAAAGGACTTAAATGAAAAAAAAAAACACGATTGTAAGCTTTAGAAACAAAACTGTATTACATCAAATTATATTATACTATAGAGACTTCATTTTTAGGGTTCCGTAACCAAAGGGTAATAACAAACGAGAAACTATTACGAAGCAAATTAAATTTCTAGATTTAGATATAGTAAAAAGATTTGATACGAGTACTTTTTTTTATAGGATAAGGGTGACAAACGAGCACACAGTCCACCTGATGGTAAGTGGTTGCTGTGGCCCATAGACTACTACATTTATCCTCGATGAGGAATCAAAATGCAGATGCGTTGTCACCCGTGAGGACTAAGATGGAATTCCTCGTTTCCAGTAAAAAGGGTCTCCAGTTCTCTACACTCACCATACGAAACACAGCAGCATTAAGCTGCTATTTTACGCTGGTATTCTATGGGAGCGTGGTCCTTCCCCGGTCGAGCCGACCCATTCGTGTTACAACTATACCAGAAATATAGCTGCAGCATGGCTCTACCACGTATGAAAGTGGTACTAGGTGGTACAACATATGAAAGTGGTACTAGGTGTTACCACGTATGAAAGTGGTACTAGGTGGTACCACGTATGAAAGTGGTACTAGGTGGTACCACGTATGAAAGTGTTACTAGGATCAGTTATCAATGATTGCATCTACAAATCTGAAAATTTTTATTTTATTTATAAGATAAGGGTGACAAGCGAACACACAGTCCACCTGATGGTAAGTGGTTGCTGTGGCCCTTATACATTTACATCTATCCTCGTTCACACAAAAACGAATACGGAATAACTATCATCTCCCAAGTCTCTTCAGCACGAAACTCCAGCTATCCTTTGAGATAAAATATTTAGGTCTTACCTGGGACAGTAAACAAAATCAATAATGCTAGTATAACTTTCTGGCAATGCAGAAACATGATTGTCAAACGATGGGGTCTGACGCCAAAAATCATACTGTCGCTGTACAAAACTGTAATTCGGACCATGATCACATACGGCGCTCTGGTATGGTGGACCAAAACAAATTAAGCCACCACAATGACTGGCATGTATGGCTGCCACAAGCTGCATAAGAACTACGCCAATAACCTTAAAGGTGATGCTGGAGCTAACCCCATTAATCTACACATACAACAAGAAGTGACTTTAGCTGCCATTAGACTCAAGACCCTAAATCTTTGGTGTAAAAATAGTCCCTCAAACAGGCATAATTGATAGAATTCACTCAAAATTCCTATCTTATAAGCCAAGTACAATAAGATCCCTAAACAATTTGTATTCGATAAGAAGTATAATATACAATTAAATGAAACCAGACAGCCGGAGGGATTAAGCCCAAAAGAGCTTAAGTCTTCACCGATGGTTCTAAAACAATTGAAGGTGTAGGACCTGGAACTCTCTCTGAAGACCTCAACATCCACATATGCACACCGCTGGGTACCTACAACACAGTCTTCCAGGTGGAATGTATGGGTATCATTCAAGCGGCCATAGCAATAGATGCTAAGAAGGTTAATGACTTCTCCATCAGAATACTGACCGACTGTAGGGCTGTACTACAAGCCCTGTGGTGCAATGTGGTGAACTCGGGACTAATATATGAATGCTATCAACGATTATATGATGTATGAAAACACAACAATGTGATTCTGCAATGAATAAAGGGACACAGTGGATCTAGAGGCAACGATGCAGCAGACAAACTGGCCAGAAGAGGATCGGCTCTGGCCACTATAGGTCCGCAATCAATCATACCAATCCCCTTTGGTGACATTCGTTCACTGGTATGTACACACTTCACTAATCAACATGCACAGCTTTGGAAAAATCTAGTAGACTGTAGACAAGCTAGGGAGGCCCTGCCTGAAATAAGCAGTTGTTTAACCAAGGTTCTAATGAGACTGAACAAGTTGCAGATCAGGATAGTAACAAATGCTATCACAGGACATGGCTCCATTAACAAACACTTATTTACCATAGGTGTTACAGATAGTCAACTGAGAAAAGAAATGAGAAAGAAACGACAGCCCAAGTGTTGCTGACATGTCCGGAAGTCGCGGCACGCCGGGAGCACTCCCAGAAGTTGCTCGCAACGTCAAAGGACTGTTGATCTTCTTTGGGGAAATCTCATGGCTCGAATAAATACATTATTCCTGCCCACACGCAAAATGAGTTATAAGTGGAGTTACGGAAAACAGCCCGTTTATTCCATTAAAAAATTCAATCTATCCTTGTTTGCGAATCAAAATGCAGATGTGTTGTCAGCCGTGAGGACTAACATGGAATGCCTCTTTTCAAGTAAAAAGGGTCTCCGGTTCTCTTCTACACTCACCATACAAAACACAGCAGCATTAAGCTGCTATTTTACGCTGGTGCATTCTGTGAGAGTGTGGTCCTTCCCCGGTCAAGCCAACCTATTTGTACTACAACTATACAATTAATATAGCTGTAGCATGTCTCTAACAAGTATATTTGATATTTTGTTCAGCATAATAACTGAAAATTGACTAAGCGTTACTTAACAGTATTTTAAATTTTGAACAACAGTATAGTAGAGGCCAATAGCTAGCAGTGGAAGGCCTACTTGTTGTTGTGGAAAAGGATCATTGACAGAAATGTAATTGTTATAAATGTACCTGGAAATACTGGTATAGGAATTCTACCACTTTTGGTGAGTAAACCGAATTTATCAGAGGTGACTGGAGTGTTCAGAGGAGCACCCTTTTCTTTCCAATCTGGTATAAGTTCATTTAATGCTATTGGATCAACACATGCTCCTGATAATATGTGGCCACCTATTTCTGTGGCCTTCTCCAGTAGTGTTACTCGTACTTCCTGTAAGAAAAAAAAACATTATTTAATTCAAAACAATGAATTAATGATATTTTTAATAAAAAATAAATAAAAAAGATAATCACTAAATTGAATATAATATATATTGAATATCACTGTTCAAGATCTCAAACAATTCAATCATTTAAAAAAATCCTGTTGTCAAAACGATGGCATCAGGACACAATCAGTTCCCAAAAGTTATATATATCCTATGGATATAATTATCAGCAATCCAATATTAGAACTAAAGTACTTATAAAGTAACAAAAACTGTTTCCCGTTTCACTGTTAACCATGATTAGAATAAGACTGTATCATTGTATCTTCTTAATATATGTGTAAAAACTTTAAAAGAGTAAAAATTGTAATTTAAATATTATTATAAATTTAAAAAAGTAATATTACAAGATACCAATATGTGAACATAAAATAATTTATTTATTAGTAACAATGATTGACCATAACCCCATCTGGTGGAAAGTTAAGGTGAGGCCTAAGGTAGTACACATATTTATCTACAAGGCATATTCTCTTTGGTTAATAGAGCCATATGGGCAAACGGTTGGGAAAAACAGCCGCTAGCAAAGAATTCTCCTCTGTGGCTGTGTGCTCCAAAAATGATTATTACCACTACATACAAACTATCACAAAGTATTGTAATTTTGAAATGACAAAGGAGCAATAAGGAGCATGATATGTAGTTCCTATGTACAACAAGCAAGTCCATTAGTGAATCTTACAAAATAACTAATTACTAAGGACACAATTTGTATACTGGGCCTTCAAATATGCTGTTATTTTTCATTACTTATATCACAGAACATTAACATATAACAATGGTGTAGCAAGAAGCATACTGTTATATTTCGATTTAATGTTATCTTGAACAAATATATTATGTTATTATGTCTAAAATATAACTATTTTGCAACAATCACTCACAATCATATTTTTGACACAGTATCTTACTGACTTATTTTTATCTCATAAACATTACTTAAGATATAGAAAGAATCCAGTTAAGGGAAGATTTACCATTACAATCTCAAAATCTGTGTAACATATATAGTCTGGTCTCATATATTGACACTGAAGTTTGAGTTTAAGCCTGTAATGAGCTCTAAATATGTTATTCAGAACACATAATTTCTAATGGAACTTGTAAATTGTGTTCATGAACATAATTAACCTGGAGAACATCATCATGATTAATATAGGGTAATTATATTAAAATTAAACTTACAGCCCCCTTCTCCTCTGCTATCTGCCTTGCTCTGATTGCAGCTGCCATTCCAGCTGGTCCTCCGCCAATAATGAGGATATCTGTTTCCTCTGCTATTCTTTCCATGTTTATATCTGATATTAAACATAATAATAATTTTATTACTCTCAGTTTGACAAATATACACTTGTGTATAGTACATGTATAAAATTAAAGAAGAAATTTATTCCAATCATTAAAAATTCATTACACTCCAAGAGTGTAAAAATAGGAGATAAAGTTTTGAAAGTAGGTAACTATTTAGATGACATTCTAGTTGTTACTTAATGCTATTGCTTAGAATATGCTTAAAAGCAGTCTTCAAACAACTAAAAAGAATAAAATAATTTCCACATAATTATTTCTGAAGCAATGGCATAGCCACCGTAGAGGGCTATGCGGTGCAGTGCCTCGGGGGCCCTAAGCTTAAAGAGCCCTTTATTTTTTACTACCTTCCACCCACGACTTCGTTTGCCTAGTATGGACCAACATTGAAAATTAACCCACGAGATCCTTTTATTGAGATAAAAGTATCCCATGTCTTACACAGGTCGAGCCCTATCCGTTTGCAAAATTTCGTCCAAATCCAAATAGTTTACGTGAAAGAGTAACAAACAAACAAATTTTCACATTTATAGCATTATTAGAAAGAACGATTAAATATATTAGATTAAATATATTCACATAATACTCAGTAGTAAGTAGCTTTGCTTTATGCCCTGCAGTGGATGATAAGGAGCTGATGATGAAGTAGTTATACACCTTTAAAGTATTTAGTTTAGTTTCAAATAGGGCTCCTATTTCATTTTTGCCCCGGGGCCCTTGTTTCCATAGCTATACTCCACTGTTCTGAAGTTGGAGCTTTAATTCTTCTATACACACTACTATATCTTGACTAACTGACTGACTTCAGAAGCTATTATTTAGAAATTATTTTATTACTTATATATAATAGTTCTATGATTAAACTGACCATTTATTTTTAACTCAAAACGGGACATAGATTTATTTATACTCTAAAAACTCTAATTTTATACAATTAGTGTTTGCTATAATTATATTCATAATTTTTCATTAATTATAATGGAACAAATTTGCTTTTATAAAGTTGGTGATGATTTTAAATAAGAATAAAATTCTGGACATTTTTTTTTATATCAACATTGCCTTTAGAACTGGAACCTGTAGGTGATTTTTTTAGACATCTACAATTTATTTATTATAGAAAAATACTCTTTCTAGTGTAGCATTTGTACCAGGCAGTAAAATATATTCGATTAAAATGCAAAAAAAAATATGGTGAAGATTGTTGGTGCGAGAGTGTTTGAATACTTCCACCCAACGAGTTTCTGCAGAAACTTTTAAATTATTCTATTCGGTAATTTTTGGGTCAGTCTCACTCTCGCACCGTTTGTGTCTGACAAACTTCATAGTTTTAAATTTTCACGCTATTTCAGAAAGTGGGACTATTTTGCATCCTGGGGCTTTGTTTCGGGAAAACGGGACAGGTGAACGATAAAAGGGGCAGTCCCGTTCAAAACGGGACGTATGGTCACTTTATCTATGATACATGTATGTTCTTGTATTCATGGAAGCAATATCTTTTACTAAAGTAATTGGCATATTGATACTATATATAAACATATTTATTAAGTAGTTGTACCTACATAAACTATAGGCTAACAATATAATAAAAAAGGACAATTATTTCCATGCGAACTTATGATAACAACGTAGTGACGTTAAGTAAGTTAACACAATATACGATAAATAGAATAATTACAAGGTTATCACTCACCTTTCCATCGTGGATCCTTATCTCGAGGGTGAATTGTGTAATGTGTGGTTATTTTTGGATAAACATCAGAGTATAATCTTCTGGCCGCATTTGTTAGCCTCCCCACTAAAAAAAATTAAAAATTACGACTAATCACTAAAAAAAAAAACTAAAATATATGAACGATAAATGAACTTTGTACTTTCGATTTTGTTATGACATTGCTTATGTGCCCTGATATAAGATATTAACGACTACATTTCTTATTTAGTTACCATAATATAATTGTTTAGTTTATATCAAATTGTTTTAATAAAATTATATTATTTCAAATAATAATATAAAAACAGCTGACGATTTATATACGTCATTAAAACTAAAGAATGAAATTGTTAATCATGACCACTTTTTAACAAGTTTTGTTACAAATATCATATAGGTATATCTGATAATTTAAACCTTTTATGTAAAGAAAACCAAATAAAATATATTTTATTTACCCTGACGAGCCGAACTAACAATCGCTGTCGCCATCTTTAATAACACTCGTTCCGATTTTCCGAAATCATATTTGATTATGTTAATGAAATAGGAATTAGTAATACATATTATATTATTAATAGTGAAGGAAAAGATATATTAAAATATATTATTTAAGTCTTCACTTCTTATAATATCCATTTAAGTAAACTTAGCTATAATTACCATTATATAAGTTTTATGATAATTATTATTATAAATCTTAAAATATAACAGCGTAACGTAAAACGTTAACACTAAACGCGGGGAATTTAAATGTAAAGATATCTACGTAAGATCTAGATCTTACATAGAAATACCTATACCTATACATTTAAACTCTAAGTTAATTAAATATACTTTTTATGTAGTCATCGTATTACATGATGTGTATAATTATTATGTTATTTTAGCACAGAGCTAGGACTATTTAAGGTTTACGCAGTTATTGGATTAAACTTACAAATTACGTAGTATACTTCGTTGAGTGTAGACAACCGTAGACCATTTTTACTGGAAACGAGGTATACTATTTCAGTCCTCAGGGGTGACAACGCGTCTGCTTTTTGATTGATGATAAATGTAGATGTCTATCGGCCACAGCATCCACTTACCATTACGTGGACTGTGTGCTCGTGTGTCACCCTTATTCTATTAAAAAAAACTAAAGAACTGAGCGATTTTTAAAATACAAGTAATATTATAACGGTATATTATTAATATATTATATCATCTTCAGACTTCTGTCGATTATGGCATAGATTATTTCTAAAATAATTTGCGGCATTAAAATAGAATAGAAGTTACCACCTTCATGTTATCACATCGTTTGAAAAGCCCCTTTAACTGTACAGTTGGTCAATCTTTCCAACAATGCTCTCGATCGGCATGTATTTCTTGAAATATTTAAGGGTTGGTGAGTAAGGCCGATACTGATATAATGCTTCACCCAATCAAAGTCTATTAAATTTGGAGTTCACATTTTTGGATGGATTTTCTCCGCCAGTAGGTCACCAGAGCCTCATCGGTAAATTATCAGGGTACAATGCTGTAGGCTGATATTTGAAGAAAAAGTTAACATATTACCTCTCGCATCTTCTTTACTTTCTATTCTTAATCGTCACGCTTGGCAGACGGTTTTACAATCGCAGTATTAGACGGTTTTAAATTCGACTTTAATACTTCGACTTGAATATGACATTGGTCCCTTGGGAGAGAGGTAAAGCCCTAGTGTGGGATGCTACTTGCGTAGACACTCTGGCGGCCTCTCATCTCAGGGGTACCTCGTTTAAAGCTGGGGCGGCATCAGAGGCAGCTGAACTAAGTAAGTGGCGCAAATATGAGTCTCTGAGAGATGACTACATATTTGTGCCATTTGCTGTAGAGACTATCGGTCCGTGGGGTCCACGTGCGGTGAAGTTCCTAAAGGAACTCCATCCGCTGCTGGTCGCTACTGCTGGTGATAAGAGGGCTGGTTCTTTCCTTGCTCAAAGGCTAAGTATAGCCATTCAGCGGGGAAACAGCCAGCGTTCTTGGCACGATACCGCGGGGAGTAGGACTATATGATAATTAAGTTTCTAGTTTTAGTTTTTTTTTTTTATTATCATAGTTTTTAATATTGTAGATAAAATTAAGTATTATGTAAAATTGTAAATCAACATACGATACTATTACCATATCATTATCTTTAATAGGTAAACACATATCATTTTACTTTATTATTACTGAGAGCTTATTGATAAGGAGCATTGATATTTTAAATGTATATACATATTATATTATGTACCTATGTATTTACCTAATCACCCATGTGTGTCCTTAGAGGCGACAGGGGGTAAAAAATCAGGCTATGGGCGTCTTCCTAATAACGATTAAAAATAAAAAACTGCAGTTGCCAACCCGCTTTTTTTATAGAAGAGGGGGCAAACGAGCATGTGGCTCTCCCGATGGTAAGTGACTACCGCCGCCCATGAACAACCGCATCACCAGAGGAATTGCAGATGTGTTGCCGGCCTTTTAGTAAGTAATTTTTAGGTAAGTTTATACGCAAGTTTCTACCTATTTTTATCAATTTACGTCATTAAAGCATATTATACGTTATTTTATCGTTGTGAATAATTGTGCCAATAACTATACTTTAATTTGTCTGACAACATAATAATTGGCATATATGTCAATCATTATACTTTCTTTCTTTTGATTAAAATATATTCTTGACACTGCCTATTACTCTATCCTTTGAGTAGTGCTAATGATTTATTAGTTAGTCTGTGCTATTGATTATGACTTACCTTTTTCATATTTTAGACTGATGAAGAATATCGATAGTTAATAGCGGGCTCTTTGGAAGCTATGAAAATGATATGGAAAATGACTGCCACTCAAACATTTAAAATTCCACGCCGAACTTACAGTTCCCGCTAAATAAGTAAAGTCAAAAACACTAAGAAGCTGAAAAGCCGACCTGGTCCTGACACAGTTTTCGATGTCAAAAAAATTTCAATGGTGTGGGGTTTTTAAATTAAAAACCCCATACCAAACCATTTTATGGAGGGAGAATAGAACGTCTATGAGGTGGATCATGCCTAATTGAAGTTTTGCATCACTGTCCTTTGGAGTAGACGGTAAAAACCTATGACTATTTTTCCCTATAGAAAATGCAATCAGACGTTCAAAAGTTAGAGTCTAGATAGAGGGATATTTACTTTCTTAAATACTTTATTTACTTATAAGAAAATAGGTGGATTAAGGCAGAAATTTTTATCCATTACGAACAAAACATTTTCAACAATAAAGAATGTAATTTTTCAGTGATAATTTTTGTAGATGGTCATAAAAGCCACATCTATCTTGACCTGGCGCAACTTTGCCCAAGTCCCGCCATAATACTTATAGCCCTTAACCTGAAGAAAGAAAGAAACATGGTAGAACAACGAAACCGTTTTCAGATGAAGATCTTACGAAAATATTTCAAGAAGATATGTTCAACAATAGTTTTATAACAATGGAGCTTAAAAATATCTGCGTATAACTTTTTAAAACTTCCAATAGTGCCAATGATTATACTTAATTTACAGTGCCATTCACTATGCCAATGATTGTAACATTCTCTAGAAACAAGTTTAATTAGATTTTTAAATTAATTAAACATTTCTTTTTGATCTTAATGCGTCATTTTGTTTATGGCTATGTAAACTAAAATCCAACAAAACAATCAAAAACGTAGCTATATAATTTTTTGAATCCGAATAAATATAAAATCGATTGCATCAATACAATCGATTTTCTAAATTATTTACTTTTTTTTATTATTTTTTTGAAATCTAGATTGTAAAAGTAACAAGTATTTTTTAAATTTAACTTTAGAAAAATATAGCCAATTTTTTAAAGTATATAAATATATAAAAATAAATATAATAAACTAATGAAACCTATTAGTTTATTTACGAGAATTAACCAAGTAGAAGTCAGCTTAAAGTGCCAGTCATTATACTGTTTACCCTACAATAACTTATAGATTGTAATCATTATCATCATAGAAAATTTCACATTTCTCCTAAATATTTTTAATTCCTTAGATACTCAGGTTTCCTTGTGATGTATTTCTTCACCGCCGAACATGGATTAAATGCAGCACTTAATCCTTGTTATGAGATGACTGAAGATATTTAACGCTGGTATTTTGTGAGAGCGTAGAGTCTTTCCCCGGTCATATCGGGATACAACCATATTAAAACTTTAGCTATGATCGATTCTCTTTCTCCTACGGCGCCACCAAACGGAAAGAAGAAAGAAAATGGTAATATTTATTCGCTATATTCCAAAATATATAGGTATATTGTGAGTTTTCTTTACTTTATACATATTTTTTCTCATCGTTGAGCAATTTATAAAAAAAAAATACGTACACCGCCTTACTACATAAAGGTTTATGAAGAATTTCTCAAGAAAGAAGTCGCCTCTTATCAAATATTTTAAAAAAAATTGCTTAATGGCGGATGGAAATTTTCGACAGATAAAAAATAAGTAACTGAAACCAATTTTAAATTAAACCATAGTATTTATTATAGCAAACTTAGTAATAAGAACAAAATGCATATAGTTTGAAGAGTTTATTTGACGGCCTTCATCTGCCAGAGACCGTCGTTCAGATAATGGAAGTTCTCTATTCCAACGCCTTTGTTCACTTTGGCTCTGAAAATAAAATAAAAAATTGCTAATATTATAATTGGCTCTGATTAGATATGCTTCGTAAATTGAAAAAAAAAATATTTAAAGACGCTTTAGCGACCCTTTTCGCTAAAGTCCACTGTTGAACATCGGTCAAACAGTGGATTTTAGCGAAAAGGGAGGCTCATGCCTCACCCGTTATAGCTGCCCATCGTCTGCTCGGTGTGTATTTTACATAAGGCGCGTAAACGAATTGGTTATACCGCCATCTGCCGGAAGCCATAAGATTGTAAGGCTCCTGTACACCCGTTATAGCGAGGATTTGCCTATGTGTCACGCTTGGCTTGATCTACGACCGCAGTAAAAGAAGTCTCGCAACTTTACCGCTGCTGCCCATCGTCGACTCGGTGTGTATTTTACATATAGCGCGTAAACGAATTGGTTATACCGCCATCTGCCGGAAGCCATAAGATTGTAAGGCTCCTGTACACAGTGGCCCACGGTGACCCACTGCAGGCCATGCGCCCTGATAAGTCAGCATAGCTCGTTCAGCGACAGGTGGTCACATAATGGTGCGTGAGTGACTCATTCCTGCCTGGGGCACCAATCGCAATGGACGTAGAAGTCATCACAGCCGCGGCTATTTATTTGTATACTGCGCAAAAGTATTATAGAAGTGAAAATCCACTGTAATAGGACAAGGACATAAGAGTTTTCTGCCGACTTCGAAAAAGGGGACGGTACTCAATTCGACTGTTTTTTTTTTATTTGTGTTACCTCATAACTTTTTACTGGGTGAACCGATGTGGATGATTCTTTTTTTATTTGAAAGCTGGTATATCTCGTGTAGTCCCA